CTATTAGTTGCTAATTGCTAATTTGCACAATATATTAATATCGTTGATTGCATAAATTTTTGTTATGTTTTTTTTATGTTTTTTGTGTAACCGTGATATACTTTTGGAGCCGACTGTACAACAGGAGGAACCGTCGATGTTACACAACTGATCCTTCACCCGGTGTGCAACATATAAAAAAATTATTTTGCAATTAGTACATAACATTATAAAATAATTTTTTTATTGTCACGATATTATAAATTCTTGGTCTAAGTCTTGTGTAACGAAGGTTGTTACACCTGATCTTGACTAGATATCGATATATACTAAATGTAATCTTTAATTCATTCATCTCGGAAATTATTAGACCTTCGAGATAAACAATAACAACAAAAAGTGATAAAATTATAACAATAGTGATAAAATTATAACAATAGCGAAAAAATCTATGAAAGGTAAGTACATTTGATATATAGAAAGGTTTACTAATAATAGCTCATTTTTTCGATTTGTATCTTTTTAAATTTTTTTTTGTGAAGGTTTCATCATGTTTCGCCCTTCATCATTTCCAATTTTACGTTTCGTCTTTCATCAGAGAAATTTATGGTTTCGTCAGGATCTCGTCTTTCGTTTTTCGCCGCTTTCAGGTTTCGTCTTCCGTCACTACACGAAAAAAGTTCCGGTTAACGTTTATACACGGAATAGCCAAAGATATTCGAGAAAGAATAAGTCATTTTTGATGTATACCACTGCTGTTCTCTTATTCGGAATAGGCTTTACATATGCATCAGCACCTCTTTATCGAATCTTTTGTCAAACGACAGGTTTTAGTGGAACACCAATGACAGGAACTTCGACAATAGATCCCAATCGTCTTGTGCCGGTCAAAAATTCTCGTCGAATAAAGGTAACGTTCAATGCAGATACTTCACGTGCTCTTCATTGGTCTTTTACTCCCCAACAACGGGAGGTGCGTGTTTTACCAGGAGAGACTGCACTCGCATTTTATACTGCAAAGAATGAATCAAATCTAGATATTATTGGTATGGCGACATACAATGTAACGCCATCCAAGGTAGCACCATATTTTAATAAAATACAATGTTTTTGTTTCGAAGAGCAAATGTTGGGAGCTGGAGAACAGCTGGATATGCCAGTGTTCTTTTTTATTGATCCAGAATTTGAAAATGATCCATTGATGAAAGACGTGGATACAGTCACTTTATCTTATACCTTTTTCAAGGTAAAGAATTTTTGTATTGTATTCTCTTAAGATTCAACAAGAATATTAATATAAATATTAATAATGACTTTAGGCAAAATATGATGACAATGGTGTATTGATACCAATTCCAGCTTAAAATAATGAGCTTTTTACAAATTGGACATACTGTAAATATACAAACTATCATTGAATATTTAAGGTTTCCTTGATTACAAATAAAATCGAAAAAAAATTACAACCATTATTAATAAGAACATTTCTTGCTTGCTTAGTTCTTTATAACTGAAAAGTACGAATAGCCTAACTAAATTATTTCGGCAAAAATAAGAAATTGATTATTAGTATGATTATCTTTGGTCTCATTATTTGATAGTGTTTGAACTATCGACCCTTCACACAATTTGGAAGGTCAATTGTGCAAAAAGGGTACTAGGATGTTCTTATGATTTGTATACGCAAGCTCATTTTGACACTCCAATATCAATTTTAAGAATAACGTGATATAGAGCAACACTGAGGCGATTAGGAAAAAAAAAACCAAAAGTTTTTTTAAGAAATTAACTTACTCGTTTTCAACAATAGTGACTTGTGATGCTATATAATTAAATAAATTTATTAATACTTGTGTTTAAGAAATGGGATTTGCGTAAAAAACCTTTTAACCTTACCATGACTAAAAAAAGTTATTTACAATCTTTCAGGTCTTTTTTGTTGACCTCTTACATTTTTGCGTACATCAGAATTCCATTGTTTTAAAGATTCCTGAAAAGGCTTTTTCTCTGCTTTTTTTAACATCTGTGGCATAGCAGGCAAATCTAAATATCTACGAATCGTCTTATTATTCATAAGTAATGTTTGTAAAACACTGAATATTGTTGAGCTCATAAGATACATATGGACCGACTTTGATATAATATAAAATTGATACAAAAATCATAAATGATTAGCATGTATTTCGACAATGATTAAATGGACTAAATAACATTCTCAACTTACTGAAGACAAAGACATTGCAACCGGTATAGATATCACAGTTACACCACGAAAGGCCCATTTCATTGTCTGTGCTTTCGGAGTATTGATTCGAGCGGCATCGCTTGTCTAAACCAAATAAATACATTTATATATTTGATATATTCTAATTTATTCTTTGTACTTTGATAAAATTGTCAATGCTAATACCTCCATCATTGCTATAAAAGTTGCTGACATTAATAAAGGTAAAATATAATATGGATCCGGAATGGTTAAATTCTGGAACCATAAAATACCACCACTTTCAAAGCCTGGCACAGGAAATTCCGACATTTTTTTTACGGCAAGGAAAAAGCTGATCATCACCGGTGTTTGTAAAGCAATAAGGTAGAAATTTTTCCATGGACTAATTTTATTTTCAGTATAAAATTCTCTTATTTGTTGATGCTTACGCATCATTAAGCTATTATCACCATTATTTTTTGCCTTTTTAAAGTCTTCCATCAACTGCTCAATCTTTGGTTGTAAGGTTATTAACTTGATCGTGTTTCGTTGCGAATTGATGAGAAGGGGTAAAAAGAGTACACGCATTGCAAATGTTGTAAAAAGTATTGTACTCCACCATGGCAAGCCGGTATAAACATGAACAGCCTCGAGAAGTGCTTCTACAGCGCCAACAGGAGTATTATGTATTAAGCCCATCGCCTTTAAATCGCCGATTTTCAGAACTGTTTCCATTACAACATCACTACTAGTTGGCTCTATCATTTCATAATGGCTTATTGAATCAACGTCGGGTGCAGTTATAGTAGGTTCAACATTATCTGGTAAAAATACTTCTTGAGAAGATGGGTTAGGTGAAGCATTTTTTGTGTAGTTTCGAAAGACGAAACCTAAAGGCGGCGAAATGCCCTGACGAAACCCCAAACTCCTCCGACAAAAGGCGGAATTTAAAGTCGGAGATAAAGAAAGGCGTAACCTAGCGAAACCTTCATTAAATTAAAACCAAGGCAAGATTTTTTTTTAAAAAAAAAATCAAAGAGTGAACTAAAATTAGTAAGCCATTTCAATTTATAAAAATGATTACTTACCTTTCATAGATTTTTTTTTTACTATTTTTATATTTTTATCACTTTTCTAATATTATTATTGTTTTAGACATCTGATTGTCTTGACAATTTTCCAAGACAAAAATGGCTTCGAAATATAATCGAACTTTTCATCTATACATCGATACCCCCAGATCGACCAATTAGGGTACAGGATCTGGTGTAATGTGAAAATCGAAAATACTGAAAATAATAAAAATTTCCACGTAGTCATTCAGTAATCCAGTTTCAAAAATTTGTGGAAAGGGGCAGATAATTATACCATGGAGAATAAGCAGAATTTCCACATTCTTCGATTCCCCACACGGATATACGGAAATCGCATTCGGTAAATGAACTTCTTTTTACGAAAGTTTATTTGAATCGGATTACTGGATGGCTAGAAATTTATACTCCACACAATATTGTTACGCTAACCCTAACCAAAACCCTAATAATCTATGTAGTAAATTTTATTAGTAATTATTTTAGATATAATCAAATTAAAACCAATTTTTTAAATTTATCAGAATTAAATATATAGCGATAGTAATATAAAATTAAAAATTTTTAGTATAACTTATAAATAAAATTATGCAAGAAATTTTTTATTAAAATATCAAAAATAATTTTATATATGTAATTTAATTTAATTTTTAAATATTTGAATTACCGTATTTCGCGGGCCAAACCACAACAGGTGAGAACGTCCCAAATACGAAAATGATTCCGATACGGTTACACGCGGTTGTCAACCAATCATATGATGAATTTTAGTTAATCGGCCAATCAGATTGCAAGAAAAAATTGGTGGATTAAAATGGATTAAACAAACATATTAAAAGTCGAAGTGAAAGCATTAATTCATCCGTAATATTTTATAAGATTTTTAGAAAGTTAAGCTACCCGATCAATTTTTAAAATCGTATTGTAAAACGTATAAAAAAATTTTTTTATCAATTGTATAATGACCGGGTGACTCAGGTAATCGTTTCCAAATTTGGGACGTTCTCACCTGTTCCAAACCACCCCTCCCCTGTCGGATCATGCGGATATTTCCATGGTGCATATCAAATTAATAACTTGTATGTTGTTTTATCACTACAGTATAGAAAACCAATCGCCGGTACGTAGTAGACATAACAAATATATTATGCATCCGCATGCACCATCAAAATATCCAATTATTTTACAGGGAGGGGTGGTTTGGCCCGCGAAATACGGTAGTCGCATTTCATAGACGACACCAGGGTTGATGATCAATATCATTGCCGCAGCATATAATTCTGGTCAAAATTATATTATATGTTACATAATGTAGGCCAATCTGCAGCTCATTTACACAGAACAGCCAATCAAATAGGGTACTAATTATATGTTACAGCAACGACAATGACGAACTCCATTTCGTACAATGAATTTTCAGCAAAATTGTTACAAGGATCTTTAATAAAGATCACTTCAGTTAATTTCAACTAACCGAAATGATTTTGCAACATCTTGAGCACTACGTAGCAGTTTACATTGAGCCAATCAATCGGGTCGATAAGTTTTGGTTGGCTTTAAGTACTAAATATAATTAAGAGACAGTTATTTCCACACCCTCGGGTGTGGAAATATCAAAAATGGGTGTGGGATATATTGATAAATCGAAATTAAAAATTATATAAGTATATACATTCTATTATTATACAATTTTGGATCATGCATGTAATGATTAATTTAAATTGTCTAGCATATATTAATTATAGATGAATTCTCTTATAGTAAAACAAAGCCCACGAGCTTTGCGCCTTTAGTTTTTATAGAGATGATACTGTAAAATTATTAATAGATAACAGTTTGTGAGCTACATACGAGAAAAACGAATCATAATTTGTAAATTATCTTTGAATATATTTTCTGCAATGACAATATATGGCATCACATTTTCAAATATGTTTATAACGTACACTTTTGGCAAATAATGAATCATTGAGTAACCGTGTATAATATTGTAATAATATAATTTTTGCGTATCTATTCTTCTACTACCAACTAAAATGTTATCTAATATTTTATACTTCCTGATGAACATTTCCATTTTTCGCTATTTAAAAAATATATAATAATAATTTGGCCAATAAATTTGTCTTACATTTTATAAATCACGCACGAGTAAATGCAGAAAATTTTAAACTTTACGAAGCAATTTTGAGTTATGATATCCAATTTTTGGGTTTGAAAGAGAGAACTGTGCATGCATTAATCTTGACGCATATATTTGAAAGTTCTCCGTCGCGATCGTAATTGGTAATTTATGTTAACTAAAAATTTAAAGCGAAAATATTTCCTGTTTTATTCTACAGGATAATGCAACTTAATCATTTGATGTAATGGAGAATTAAAACTATACAAAGGTCATTTCTTTCAAGAAAATTAACATTAAAATTTAATGTTAACTTATAATCTCTTTAAGTTACTGATCATAGCGTGTTAATATTGTTTGCGCACATCATCTTGTTTCCAAATTTCTGAAAATGGCCTTTTTAATTACCAATTTAGGAATTTTCAACAATTTAGCAATTTAGATTAAACCATACAACTTTCGGTTCAGTTAAAGGCATAATTAAATTTTTGTAAAATGTACTGTATACAAAGCGAAAATTGTGCACCGCGTCTTTATCGGACGACATATTATATTATTACGTTACATATATTTCTTGCTTTAAGACATTGATCATGCTTCTCTTTATCGAATTTCAAAACGCTATAAAAGAGCTTTCAACTTCGCCCTTCTCATTTTTCTTTGGTCATTTTCTTAAGCTTTTTCATTAACAATCTTTTACTCTCCTTTAACTCTCCTTTAACTCCTTCTTTAACACTTCCTTTAACATCATTAACATCGTCTTATCCCTTTAACGAAATTTCAGTAAAAATGAAGTTCAATTACCTTTTGCTTTTGAGCACTGTTTTGTCCTCAGGATTAGTTTTTTCTGACCAGGCATCAGCATTAGTTGTTGAAAAACGCGAACCACAGCGGTCTTCAGATACAACTTACAATTATTATCGAAATGGCGGAAACCCTGGCTCTAAGCGTGACGTCCAAGATCTAAGTGATAACGAAAAGCGTGAACCACGGTATTCGAGTTCATATTACAATTATTATCGAAGTGGTGGAAATCCTGGCTCTAAGCGTGACGTCCAAGATCAGAAAGATAACGAAAAGCGTGAACCACAAAGGTCTTCAG